TAAAAACATACATATTATACATAGAATACACCCAAACCGATATAAACACGCATACTCATGAATACATAATAATATGTGCCTTGCGAGAAATCGAACCCGCGACAATCGGAGGTAAGGCGAAGTGCTAAACCTCTAGAACACCGAGGCCATCATATATTAAATTTCTGGTGTCGTATTTTATTTGTCAATGTATCGTGTCTAAACAAGACAGTTCAGTAGGACAAGACATATTTATTTCTCCGAATCTAATATTTAAACAATTGTTTTAGAATATCCAACAGTTAATGGGTACACTGGGAAAAAAATGTTACTACGTGACCCGCGTCTTAATAATTTTAAGTAAAAAAGTCACCTCCTGCGCTCAAGTACCTTATTGTCTATGGGTTTCCTCAAGATGCTGTATATGGATGATGTAATCCCGTTCCCTCACGAAAATCTTACTTACCCGGTTGAAGAGTCTCTCCTAAAGTACTTTCAACGTTATGATTTTCCTGAGTCTGAATATAACGAGTTGGGAAAAAGGGGATTGTTAGTTGTGGACTAATAACCACATAGCTATCATTGTACCATGTCAGGTTAACCTCTACGCGGTACCTTATGGAAACCGTCGTGATAAATACCTGATGAATGTGGTGTGATGGGCTAACTGACCTTATGTTCATCTTATCGTCCTTCACTGATGCCCCGCCAGCGTAAACCGTTAGCGCAAGATAGTATACCATTCCATTTTTATCCATAAAAAATATATAACGAGTCTAAATTATAATGTCATGACATTATCACTTGTCAGGGAACACGACATTACCGTAGTAACAGGATAAGCCTTTTTATATTTAAGTGGTATGAATACCAGGAATCTCAGATGAAATTGTTATTTATAAACTTAGCTACTAAATAAGCAATTCTACTTGAAACATAAATGTACATAACTATGTATACTCCAACAGTTTAATTATGAAATCGTCAGCAACACCCCCGTATATATATATATTTACTGTCAGCTAACATATGCGTTGCTAACATATATGTTCCTAGTAGCTAACATATACATACATACACATATAATGAAAATTAAAAAATCGCTGTCTGTCACTTAGTCCTCCAATAATAACTATTGGAGGACTAAGTAATAGAACCCAAAACACTGATTTAAGAAACTTTGTTTATTTGTGCGTTGTGCTCAAAAACCCAATATGGGTGCGATTTTCAATAATATAAATTTTAATAAAAATTTGGTCTTTGGTTCATTCCCAATGGTTTACAAAGAAAAAGTTATAAACTATTCCGAATACCACATCTACGATGTCGCTCGTGTCAGCTAGTCAATACTATTTATAAAATGACAGTGATGACATGATTACTTTATTATATATTGTGACTTAACACGCTTATTAATAATAATAATAATCTATTGTCAAAGTTCCATTTTAAATATAATTCCATAGCAGAGTGTATTTATTTTATTCTTTATTGCACTTACAAATGTTTATACAATTGTCCAACTTAATGCCAAAATCATATGGCATTATCCACCAGCTTACCTTTATACAAAATAGAAAACGTTTGACGGGCTTTTTTTAACGAACTATCCTAATGCTGTTGGTCGTACGTTACTTGGCTGCGAGTACAGAGGGTACTCCAAAACAGCGGAAGCACTAAGGAGCGGTTGAAGGCCAACTCCTGACTGACGGATACGACATCAGTCTGAGTACCGTGATGGGTAAAAGACAATCTATAAGTGTGAAATAAAATATTTTGGTATTCTCTTTAGGAAGTCTAAAAATTTTCTTTGTGCCTACATAATTATATACTTATTACTTTTCGTCTCTTCCCGTAATGCAGGGTCGACTTTCCAAATCTAGAGGCGCCATGCATTTTGCTGGTAGTCGTCATTTGATCGATAGTGGCTTGTCCAGTCCTCTTTTCAATGAAGCCATGGAAAGACACTTTTTGACTACATGGTTCTCGGGTTTACGCAGAAAGTTTTGTATATGTACCCGGCAATGAAAATGTAGCTCGTTAATATTACACTTTCAATGTGAAGCTATTAAATTTGGAGAGTTATAACAAAGTTATTACTATTTTGGTGTATGCAAAGCAGCTAAATGCTCGTTAAATCTAGTTTGCACAGGTCCACTAGCAAGCAAACTGCTTGACTGCAGATGTAAGCAAAATCTATCTTATTTACGTAGGTACGGAGGCACAACATAACTTAATTCTTAGGAATGACAACTTAAGGGTACATATATACTATAGACGCCACTATATCCGTAGCTCTGTTTACGACTACAGGCAACTGATATTACTACCTAGCAAATTAATTGAAGGCTCGTTTACCATTCGAGTCTTATTATAAAATCTCTGCATTCACAAACACCTTTGTACGTTGTTCTTATCTATATTCATCTTAAATCATCAATAAAACATGTCTATGTATGGTTGCGCCATATAACATTATATTTTTGTTTATCATTGTATAATTATTATTAGTAATAGTTTGTTCAAATAAATAATTTAGCGTGGTACGAAACGTTAATTTTCTAAGGATTGGCACTACACTAATTCCTTTATCCTCTCCTATTCCCGCACATACCTTTGTTTTAAGTGCGAGCGAGAAGATTCGCTTGTATCGAAAGTGACATATCGCGCTCGCGCGTCACTGTAAAATTGAACGCTGAAGTTGACATTGAATTCCCGCCTTGATCGCGCTTAAGATCAAGTTTTTTGTAATTCGTGATAATTACTAAACATTTTAATCCACCGCATCGCTCTAGTGTGTTTAAGACCATTGTGTTTGTGCCATTGTTGTGAAGCAAGTAGCTGGGACCTGGAGACACCGATAGCCGCCGCACTGCAACCTACAATTCAAAGGTACTGTGCCTCCTTCCTTACCAGAACTGTCTTTCTTTGTGTTCCATCCTCACAAGCAGTTCTCAATCACCAACCTAACAGTGTATCGTGTCAATCCACGTACCCGTCAAATTATTTAGATACAGTCCACTTAAATCAAAATCAAACAATAATTATTTCACCCGCGCCGCCATTATTTTAGTGGTCCATTTCGAGCCGAATATTGTAATTATTTGGTTAAACCACACTAGATATTTTATTTCTATGTATATTTCGTACAAACGCATACAATTAATTTGTATTTTACTACCTCATTTTCTTTATTTCGTTATATCGATGTTTCTAGAATCTCGTAGGTACATGTAGGTACAACTACCTGATAGATTCATATCAAATTCCGTGTCAACTCAATTTCGCATCGTAAGTAATAGTAGGTATTTACGATTTGTTGTAATACTCCCGCATTGTTTTAACCTAACTATAGGTAAAACAACTTTATTTTTGTAGTCACCGCATTTATATTCGTAGTTATCAATTACTTTCGCGCCATTGTAGGTAGTCTATCTACCTACATATTGATATCCTCAGGCCCCCTTAGGGTAGGCTGAGACGCATACGATATTATAGCTTAATATTATCGCTTTCTACCGGTCTACTATTGAATAGGTTAGCGGCATAGACTTTGAATTTAGTTCGCTGTAATAAACAAGACATTGCTTACGCTGTAATAAACAGACATCGCTTTGTTTAATATAAATATTTGACAGATTCCTATCACGAGTACGTTGTGGTTTATTATTTCGTATTTTAATTGTAAGTACATTGTGTACTGCCGGCTCTCGTTGCCCGCATCGCACCGCATTGCACCGCACCGCACGTAACTTGTGTAGGTATTTATCTGTTCTCCACCGCACCGCTTTCTTATATATTTATTAGTACAAACAAGTTTTTGTATTTATAGGTTGTTCATCATGTCGGATGTCAATCAGTTACCCCTGTTACTCGCTAAAAAGGATTTAATGTTTTCTCGCATACAAAGTATTACAGATAGGACTCATAATCTTTCTAGTGAATATGAAAGAGAAACATTCTTGTGTGAGATCGAAACAGTTGACAAATTACGCTCGGATTTCGAAACTATGTTAGATAAAATAAATACTTTAGAATCTAAATTGAATCCTAAATATGTTATTAATTATCAACCGCTCATGGCATTTGATGATTTGTATTGCCGTATAAAACGAGCCGCAAGATCGCTAGAGGTACCGCCTGATGTCAAACATCATCAGCATAATAGGGATGAGGACAGGCCTCGTCTGCCCCCCCTACCAATTCCGGAATACTCAGGAGATCTGAGATCCTGGTCTTTATTCTATACAGCTTACAAAAGCATAGTTCATGACAATCCTAGATTGTCAGATTCGGAAAAATTACATTATTTGATGGGTAAACTGACAGGTAAAGCTCGTTCTGTATTTGCCAGTATAAACCCTTGTTCTGAAAATTATAAGGTCATTTTAGATGCTTTAATTAGTAAGTATGAAGATAAGAGATTGCTCGCATCATCATACCTAGATCAAATATTCGAAATGAAGCCCTTTCATTCATCAAATATAAATAATTTAGAACAATTTCTCGATAAATTCGCAACTTCAGTATCCGCGTTAAATAACTTAAAAATTAATAATCTTTCGGATTTTATATTTTTGTATACCGCGTTAAAGAAATTAGATTCCGAAACCGCCCGCGCTTTCGAACTAGATAAACGAGGATCCGACATCCCATCTTTCGATACATTAGTGTCATTTGTGCGCGATCACATTAAAATATTGCAACGCACTTCTTCAAGCAACCAAGAAGTTACTAAGAAAGTTGTCGATCGTCGTATGGATGCGGCATCGAAAGTTATGCAACATAAATCTACATACTCTTATACTACAACCGCTAATCCGCAGCCTAAGTGCTCATTGTGTAACATACAACATGAACATTTATATAAATGTCCAGGTTTTCGAAATTTAACGCCTAATGATCGTTTCCGATTTGTTAAATCTAATTCCTACTGTATTAATTGTCTAAGTAAAAATCACCGTGTATTTAATTGTAACTCAAATAGTCGATGTCACAAATGTGACTCAAAACATCATACTATGCTCCACTTTGAGCATAGTAATGCCACCTCCACCGCGAACATACTCAGTGGTAGTTTGGTCACAGCGACTACGTCACGCGTAGTGGATCTATCGTCGCACTCGTCGCACACGCAGCCCGCTGTTGGTGGCGGCGGCGGCGGCCGACCGGCTCCTTGCACGGACCGCGCCCCGCACTCACCCCCGCCGACACCCGTCGTATCCCGCGCATCGGAAGACGTAGCATTATGCACGTTATCAGACAATGTTAATAAAAATATGCCTCGCGTACCTACTACCGTATTGTTAGCCACCGCTCGTGTTTTAATGATCGATAGAGACGGTAACGAACATTATATTAGAGCATTATTGGACAGTGCTTCTCAAAGTAATTTTGTAACTAGGGATTGTTGTAATCGCTTGGGATTGCAATGTATACAGAATACAACCTTTTCGATTAAAGGTATAGGAGGGACAACAAAGGCCACACAGGGTTCTGTACATATAAAATTCTTTTCACGGTTTAATCGTAATATTAAATTTGATATGGAATCCTTAGTTGTAGATAAAATAACCGAACGTTTACCGACTGTTAGTGTCGATATTTCATTATTTTCAAATTTTAAAAATTTGCCTTTAGCCGATGATAGTTACGCTACTCCTGGGAACATTGACATGTTAATCGGTGCCTCAATTTTCCCGCATTTAATATTGTCCCGTAAGGTTAAAGGTCAACCCGCATACGTCTCGCCGTATGCTATTGAGACCGTATTAGGCTTTGTTATTGTAGGTTCAGCTCCCGCTAGATCAAATACCGATACTTCCGTGTCTAATATGTTAGATAATTGTAATTACACTACCACCGCGCATTGTTGTGTTACCGAACCCACGATGGAATCCGTTCTATGTAGATTCTGGGAAATGGAAGAGGTGAATGTTGCACCGATTCTCAGCCCGGACGACAAGGAGTGTGAAGCTATTTATGCTGGCACTACCACTCGCGAGGACGACGGTCGTTATACCGTCGCGCTTCCCTTCAAGGGTAATGCACATTCTCTTGGCGACTCGCGTCGATTAGCCGAGAAATGTTTCTTTTGTCTCGAACGCAAAATGCAGGCTTCGCCTGAACTCAAGCAAGCCTATGATGACGTCATTACGGAGTATTTAGATAAGAGTTATATTTCACCCGCACCCGTTAATGATGATAGTAATGCTCCTTCGTATATAATACCGCACCATGGAGTTATTCGAAAAGATAAACTCACGTCTAAATTGCGCGTCGTACTCAATGCTAGCGCTAAAACTAGCACGTCCGTATCTCTCAACGATCTTCTTTATAATGGACAGAATTTACAACGCAATTTATTTGATATTATAGTTAACTTCAGATTATTTTCAGTAGCTCTCTCTGCCGATATTAGGCAAATGTTTCTTTGCATTCGTATTAGAGAGAGTGACCGCAGATTTCAACGCATATTGTATAGATTTTCGCCTGACGAACCTCTCCAGGTTTATCAGTTTAATCGCGTTTGTTTTGGACTCAAATCGAGTCCGTTTCTTGCACTGCGTACTATTAAGCAGTTAGCCACCGACGAAGGCGAATCGTTCCCAAAAGCTAAGGAAGCGGTTCACACCGGTCTGTACATGGATGATTTAGTATATTGTCTAGATAGTGAAGATGAGGCTATCGTCACAGCTGCTGAGATCATCTCACTCATGAAGGCCGGACAATTTGATCTTGTCAAATGGACGAGCAATTCGCAAGTAGTTTTAAATTCCATTCCGTCAACACATCGACTTTCATCGGTAGTAGAATTCGACGTGTCTGATACGCATAAAATTCTGGGTCTGTGCTGGTCTCCTAGCTCAGATTTATTTAGTTTAAAAATTTGCACGCCCGCTGAAAAGTGTACAAAACGCACCATTTTATCTTGTGTCGCAAGATTGTGGGATGTAATGGGTTTCGTAGCACCCGTTATATTATTTGCCAAACTTCTTGTCAAAGAGTTATGGTTATGCAACTGCGATTGGGACGACGCCCCCCCTGAAGTTATCGTCAGACAATGGTCACGTTTCAGGGATGAGCTCCCCAGTCTAGATCAAATTAAATTACCGCGCCATGTTGACATCACAAAACGCAGTGTGGTGAACATCATTGGCTTCGCAGACGCTAGTGAAAAGGCTTATGGTGCTGTTGTGTACTTCCACGTCGAGACTGATGGTGTGAGTACTGTGCATCTTATAAGTGCAAAATCTAAGGTTGCACCCCGCAAGGTCGTGTCGTTGGCCCGACTCGAACTTTGCGCAGCGCTTTTGCTCGCTAATTTAATTAATAATATTGTTACCGCTGTTAATAACCGCTATCCAATTAAGGCAATACACGCATTTTCTGATTCAACAGTTGCTTTATGTTGGATCCACGCATCGCCCCACAGGTGGGATACTTTTGTCGCGAATAGAGTTTCTAAAATTCAATCTCTGCTTTCACCGCATAATTTTTATCACGTGTCTGGTTCGGACAATCCAGCCGACTGTCTATCGCGAGGGCTTACTCCTGCCCAAATAATTCACCACCCCCTATGGTTCAACGGCCCGCAGTGGGCTAAATCCACCTTTTCGGAATGGCCAGTCACCGCTTTCAATCCTTCTGCTGTTATGGACCCGCCTGAGGAGAAGAAACTCTCCTTTGTTACTCGTACACCGCCAGAAGAATCTGTTTTCATCGCTCTGGCAAATCGCTTTTCTTCTTGGTCCAAGCTTCTTCGCTGCGTAGTTTATATCTGTCGTTTCGCAAAATTATTAACACCCGCACATATTTTAAATTTTACTCCGTTGAAATATTTGCCCGCCGCAGAAATAGCTGACAGTTCTTTGATTTCACGCCACGCATTATTAGACAGATTAGTGCAAACGTTCTGGAAGCGATGGAGAGCGGAGTACCTGCACACATTACAATCTCGCGAAAAATGGAATACACCCGTCAATCAGATTACTGTCGGAACTGTTGTAATTGTACGTACTGAAAACGCGCCACCACTTCATTGGCCTTTAGGGGTTATTGAAGAGGTCTTTCCGGCTTCTGACGGCGTAATTCGAGTTGTTCGTGTAAAAACTGCAACCGGCTCTTATTTGCGCCCGGTTGTACGTCTGTGCCCCTTACCTAGACATTAGTTTTAGTTAATACGAGTTCTAGGTTAAGGTTTAGTTTATTTTAAGTTTCTATTTTTACTTTGAAGGCGTCCCTTCAAGGCGGGGGGGAATGGTTGCGCCATATAACATTATATTTTTGTTTATCATTGTATAATTATTATTAGTAATAGTTTGTTCAAATAAATAATTTAGCGTGGTACGAAACGTTAATTTTCTAAGGATTGGCACTACACTAATTCCTTTATCCTCTCCTATTCCCGCACATACCTTTGTTTTAAGTGCGAGCGAGAAGATTCGCTTGTATCGAAAGTGACATATCGCGCTCGCGCGTCACTGTAAAATTGAACGCTGAAGTTGACATTGAATTCCCGCCTTGATCGCGCTTAAGATCAAGTTTTTTGTAATTCGTGATAATTACTAAACATTTTAATCCACCGCATCGCTCTAGTGTGTTTAAGACCATTGTGTTTGTGCCATTGTTGTGAAGCAAGTAGCTGGGACCTGGAGACACCGATAGCCGCCGCACTGCAACCTACAATTCAAAGGTACTGTGCCTCCTTCCTTACCAGAACTGTCTTTCTTTGTGTTCCATCCTCACAAGCAGTTCTCAATCACCAACCTAACAGTGTATCGTGTCAATCCACGTACCCGTCAAATTATTTAGATACAGTCCACTTAAATCAAAATCAAACAATAATTATTTCACCCGCGCCGCCAATGTACATGTTTAGTATAAAAAATAAATATTTAAAGTGCTGTATCACAAAACAAATGTTTGCAAGTAATTTCTTTACGCTACTTTTTAGAAAGAATGTTATTTATTGATTGATTACGAGCAATTTATCATGTACAAATTTGGCGGAATTTTGAAACTCCTTTGAACGTGTCGTGTGCAAATTCTATTTATATCGGAACCTTTGTACTTTGTCTTTTCGCTGGAGTCAAACAAAGCAAAGGAATTTTCGCATTGGGCCTTTTATTTTATATTTTCGATTCGTTACCCGTTTTATGTGTCCAGTCGGCCACCGCATGGTTCTTCTATGACTAATGACGATGAAATCTTGTAGTTGAACTCAAACAGTATGACTCACGGCACAGATCAGATAAAAAGTTACCACACACAAGTAGGTGGCGTTTCAAAAGGCCATAAATTTATATTCTTCACCCATAGTTTCATTGTATATGCGGTATTTATTTCAATAATGGTTTGTAATCTAGAATACTAAATTTTGTAAACGAATAAAAGGTGATCCAAATCATCTACTAAGACGAATTAAAGATTCTGTTATTAAAATTTATTTTAATTTTGCACTATTTTATGCTTTAACTTTGCACTTTGACAGTGCTAAAGTGTAAAGGACTCGCCGTACTCACTCTGACGAAGACTTCCGGATGAAATCAAATGAATTGTCACGAAAGACTAGAACGAAAGAAGAGAAATATAGCATGTTTATTAAATTCCCGTACTTACATAGTTATATAATAAATATTTTGTTCTACTAATAATTTAAGTATTTTATAGTCAAAAATTAATACGATCCTTTCGTATCGTGATAATAAAAAATAGTGAAATGGTACAATAAGAAAACCTCATATTTATTTCTGAATTTTGTATAAACTACAGTGATGAAAAGTACAGAATGAAAAATATTCATGATCATGACAATACCTACTGAAATACATAAATGAATTTCAGTATTGTCATGATCATAAATTTAATCCCTCCTATTACTACGTGGTTTAGTACAGCATTTTATTTGGAGTCTTCTATTTTCATTCACTAGTGTATTTGTGCTTTATTTTCCTAGTCCTTTCTTATATCCTGGTAAGAAAATGAGTGGTCGCAAATAATAATATTCTGTCGCCGTCAACACCCTGAGTTATTTTTATTCAACACTCCAATAATAGTCGTATAATGTTATTTTTCCTTAAGTATTTTATAGGCAAGAACGGTACAATAATAGAAAACAGGTATGTATGAGTAATATTTTAGACCTACGTTTTTGATGACGTCAATAAACAGTTGAGTGGACTATTCTTAGTAACAAGTTAGATACTATTCTAATCTAAATAAGGTTTGACATTAGTATTGAAGCAACAAGTTGTTTCTCTCGCATAGAGCAATCTTACAATATATTTTTATATAGAGTTGGAATCATTTATAAATAAACTATTGACAGTAATTTAAAAATAAGATACAACACGTGTACAAACTAAATGACATAATAAAAAAATGCGTTTTTGAGTTTTTATAACAAAATTGACAATTTTACATAAACATGGATTATGACAGATTACAATAAAATAATGCTAAATCCAAAAATGTGTGTCGATATCCCCATAATACACGGAATTATTATATTAATCTAATTCCACTATAAACGTGGTTAAAAATACATTATTATATTGCTCATTTTAGGCACTTTTCAATAATTAATTCATTTCAATAAAAAGACATGTTCAAACGTTTACTATATATGCCAAGTCTAAAAAAAACAGATTATAAATACGAGTGTTGTGGAGTTCAATCACAATTCTCGTCACGAAGGGCAGCATGAGTAAGTGACGGGTAATGCATTGAAGGCACGCCTTATGCGCGGTAAATATTAATTAGTAATGACAATTGGCGCCACGCCGCCACCCCTTTACCTACGAGCGTGACTGCCGACCTGCAATACTTTAGAGATCATGTACACCCTCACTAATAAGGCCGCTGGTATACATTCGGTCAGTTGCCAGGTTGTCTTCATTTAGTTGCTATGCACCGAAATCATTGCTAGAGATCCGCCAATTAGGATTCTTTGAAATGTTTGTCGCATTCGGACAATCTGTTGACTGTGGGAGGGGATTGTTAGTAACAGGGACTAGTTGCTTCATTGCTAGCAGCGTACCATATTCGTCCCTGGTAGCCTATTATTATTATTATATTGGTGAATTGGTACATTTGGAGCAAACCTTACTTCGCCCAACTTATGCACCGGCCGCATATACAGATAACGCAGGTGTACCATTCCATTACCATTAAAAAAACCTAATGACCAGCGGACTGTATATCAACGGGTTTAGCGTGTAGCATAACCTTAACAGAGATCGTTGATTGTAGTTCGATACTGCTATATTATTAACTTGAGGACCTAGTTTTGAGCAGAAAATAAACAGATAAATACTAATTCAAGTATTAATTGTAAAATATAATTATTTATGAGAAGCAACAACTATATAACAAATGCGTATTATTTAATATTTAAGTGTAATTATAATTAAGTACAGGGAACTATAATTAATTAAGCGAAGAATTGTTTAAAGTAAATAATTTATGAACTTGTACCACAACGTGCGACACCCACAGTTCTAAAATTAATAATAGATACTGTAATAATACCTAGTAAGCTATTTGATGAATTAACATATATTTTTGTTTGTCTTAATATACATAATAAATATATCAATATACATAAAAATACTATTGAGGCCATCAATATACCTACTCAAATCAGGTCGACCTCCACGCAATTCCCCCTAGATACCATAGTGTTAAATACCCCACGATGAATAGAATAGAATAGAATATAATAGAAAATCATTTATTCAAATAAACTTACATTGAAGCACTTTTGAATAGTCATTACATTTTTTTTTAATCTACCGCTCTTTCGGAAAGCTGTCTCATCACAAGAAGAACGAGCAAGAAACTTGCGTGTTGCTCTTTTAAATAATTTTATTATTACTTTACATTTTTAAGTTTAAGTGTGTGAATACAAACCACCAATTAGCACTAATTCAATTAAATACTCAAAAAGAAAAAATATTGAATACATAACCAACTGGTTAAACAATTAATAAGAGGAAATCAGTCATAGTGATTAGAGCAGACCAGTCCCTACAAGCAGCACCCGTTCACGAGTATGACGGATGAGCCAGCCATCACTGCGCTCGACCATATTTTAGGGAGCCCAATGACCCGGCCCACCACGCCGCCACAAGTCTGGACATTTTAGTGAGCAAATGATGAGCTAAGTGATCCAATTCGTCTTTGTCCTTTCATCCTTCACTGATGGCCTGTCAGAACATATTATTAGCACAGTCGGGAGATCACCATTGCATTATCAACATCCACAAAATAAAAAATCACCTAAAATAAATAAAATTGGAGTGTCTGTAATATTGAAATAACCGTTTTTTACTACATGCATATGTAAATACAGTACATACACCAAAATATCATTTTTTACAATTTTTGTCTGTCTGTTCCGACTAATCTCTGAAATGGCTGAACCTATTTTGACGGAACTTTTTTGGCAGGCAGCTGATGTAATAAGGAGTAACTTAGGCTACTTTAATTTTTTTTTAAATCATTTATATTAGAAAATATATATTTTTTTTTAAACTTTCGTGTTTAAGATACATTATTTAAATTATGAACCGGGTCTTAACACGAATAATTTTATGGCAAATAATATGGCCATAAAATTATTCGTGTTAAGACCCGGTTAATAATTTAAATTCCACGCAGACGAAGTCGCGGGTACAGCTAGTAAATAATAAAAATCTTTGCAATTTGAGGAAAACGGATTATGGGTAGAGTTACTTTCCTACTTGTTTCTTTTCATGAGAATAAGCTACTTGGTCGCAAAAAAAACACGACGATAATTAATTTCAATTATAACTTTGAACTTTTAAGGTTCTAGTTTCTATACCTCTATTCGTGTGTGTGTTAAATAAATGGTAGTGTGTTTTGTTATTTTTTTATTGATTAATATATTTTTATGCATAATTAAAAAATAATACTATCATTCTGTAATCATTCTCTATATATAACTACTATAAGTTTTTTTTAGACTATTCTAATGCTGTTGGCCGCAGCTGGCCTTTAAAGCTTCAGCGGACGATAGACAGATGGTACTCCAAACGCGCGGGAGGACTTATGGACCGACTGAAGGTCAATTCCCGCCTGACGGATACGACTTTAGTCTAAGGCACCGCTATGGGTACGAATCTCGGTTCAGGCCGTCGTAATATCGATTCCCGTTTGAATTGGACGGGTGATCAATCTATAAGTGTGCGTACTTTCAGGTAAGATGAATCTATGTACGTACTCGAGATACAGTCTATTTTCAAACATGTCAAATTCCAAGAACCATTCAGCCTTTGAGTCTATAATATTAATATGGATCTAGATCATACTACGTTAATAATGTTGGATGTTTATAGTTTAATAATGATTATTAATTAACCATGCTGTTACTCAATCATGCTAAAACGGTTGGACGGATTCCATTGAAATGTGGTAGACATATATATATATATATATATTGGATATATCCTAGAATATGATACCTTTTACCTAAATTCCCGCGGCAAGCGCCACGGGAAAGGGTTAATCTATACTAATATTACAGTTTGTAGGTGTAATCTCTGCATAGATTTTGAAAATTATTTTAGTGTTGGATAGCCGATTTATCTAGTAAGGTTATAGGCTATATAACATCACGTTACAACCAATAGGAGCTCTATATAGCTAGAGAGAATATTTCTTTGCTACTCACAAAGAAAAATGTTACAAAAACGGGGAAAATATGACAGACAAAGTTGCGCGGGACAACTTGTTTCTTATAAAGATACTTCAACGAACGATGCATAAAATTACCTTTAAAACTTCATAGCTTAAAATTACCATATGCGTACTAAGCACGTTTCACAAACCAGTTTCAGAAGGAAACATTAATAATCTGGTAATTTGACTATAAGTGTAGGTAATAAATTAATGTTCACGAAGAGTTGTATAATTGTGTTTCCCCAGAATACCAGTATTTGTAAATATTGGAGTACGGAAATAAGCCGCGATATGACATATTTATACAGCGACGGCAAACAATTTTCAAGGGTCTTTGGGTACCTCACACCATATGCGGTACGCGTCACTACTGAATAGGCCGAGTGCTTTCGTCCCGAGAAAGGGAATTAACAATAATAGGGAGTATTGGTCATTGTCAGTAATGGCATTTACCTTGTCAGTGCTACAGTAATGTGGTAATTGGAAATAATGGTTTTCTAAATATTTGAATATGGAATTGTGACCCAGTGTACATCAGTGGAGGAAGTTGAAAAGATCAATTCAGATGTCTGTGTGGTGAAGTCAGAAATAACGATCACCGGGAAGACGATTTTCGCTTCGAAGTTGATCTAACAGGGAACATTTTTTTATGGAGACAAACGAGCTTGCGCCTCACCTGATGGCAAGTGTTTACCGCCGTCCATCAGCAAAGGAGTCACTAGTTCCCATTATTAATAATCCCCTTTCCCCTCGGATGATTAAATCCCGGTTGTTACGATGGGCTTTGATCTCAGTTCATCCTTCACCACTGTCTTGTAAGCGTAAATAATTAGTTTAGTGTAGACCTTATCGCTATTCCATTATCGTCCGCATGAGAAGTGCTCCTGTCAGCTCTGTTTAAATGTGATGTAGATTGAATAATTCGGCAATTCAGTTCACAATAGTTACGTTCTATGTACTAAAAGCTATTAAAATTGGGACACAATGATAGCATGTTGAAATTAGTCAATATCTTGGATTTAAAAGAAAAAATCGTCATCGTCCGGTTTCCTATATGACTCTTTACGATTACTTTTACTTGATAGAAATATACGGCAATATATATACTTATTTTGAGAAGTTAGGGGTTGAGCTCAAATTAGATATTAGTTAGTTGACGATTAATAATATTAATATCCATCTATTACAAGTTTTGACTATCATAATAATACACCATGACGTAAGCGAGAAGTTTAACGACTAATAAAAAGGCACTAAAACTACGCTATTGCACTTATTAAACTAGCTAGGGCAGTGTTTTTCAAAGTGAGTGAAGATAACAGTTTCGTTTTCAGACAATAGGGAGCGAAACAACATTCTAGGAAGGTCAAGGCAGGCTCAGATATGAATATAGAAAAAAATAGTAGTGTAATTACTTCACAGCAACATATAGCCATTGAAATGCTGTCTAGTTGCATAGTCGGATGTTGCATAGTTTAAAATGTTATAGTACTTTCCTAAAGAGCTACCTGAGATCAAATGTGGTGAAAAGGAATTTGTTAGAAAATATTTAACTGTCATAATAGTGATGACTGACATAAGTTTGAGTACCTACAATTTAAGGTTTAACTTGTATTAATACCTAACAGTATTATTAATAGGCATATATGACAAATTTTATTAAATGTAAATGTAAATAATTTAGACAAAATTGAGTAGCATATTAAATATGAGATTGTTCAATACAGTAAAATGTAATGGTAGTTTGTTCTTTCTGTATAGTCCATAAGGATAACACATGTTACAATTTAAACCACTTTTATCTTATATTATTCTTCTCTATTCCTAGCGGATCATTTTTTTCGCTACCCTCCAGACCTCAATTATTGATATTAGAATGAGCACTAATTATTTTTTACTAGCATTACAGTTTTATAATTCAATTTACAAAAAAAAGGAATAAATAAGAGTTTGGTAGCTTGACCTTTCCATTAGATAACAAAATTAGTATTGCGATAAACATTATTAAAAATACATATAATTCAAAATTTTTAATATGTAGTCAACTGCATTAGTAAGTACATTCATTATTATTAAGCTTTATTAATCTAAACAGGAAATGAATTATAAGCCTGCTATCAAAGATTACTTGGCAAAGATGTAAATGGATGAGTAGCATATAATCTCACTTTATTATTTTTTTTCAATTAAACACTGAAATATTTATATATTTACTATGCTTTTTCAGTTCATAAATTATAAGATAACACCTTAAATCGCTTTGAATTACATTAGCATGGTATTCAAATCTAATAAATAAATTCTTCAGTGGACTTTATTTACAAAAATTTTTGTTACTTAAAAATAATGTTGTTTTGTTTAGTTAATGTACAAAGATAAGAAATATCATATTCTATATTAGGCGATATCAAGATATAACAATCTGATGTGATACAAATTAAAATAACAATATTTTAATTTGTGTAAGTACCAGAAAAAAATATAATTTATTTACTATAATAATTATTATTATAACAATAAAAACTAAAACAAGCAGTAATCAGTGGTAATCACTAGCATGGCATGCCTCTGACTAATCTATCTAGAATTATGGTGATTTATATACCTATGTAGAAATTTATTTCTCTTAATATCTGATCAATACATCAAAACTTCATATCTCTTTTTATTTAATATGTTATGCTATACACTTACTATGTAACCACTAATTATAATTATTAGAGAAGAGAAAACCAGACTCCATCAGGTCCGCATGGAAGAGAATATTTGGAATACACTAAAGCAACAAGTTGGTGGTCGAGTGACTTAAAACCTGCCTGTAGTCCCCTTGAGTTGCCTAAGAGTCTCATGTGCCTTGAAGGACGACATATGAGGCCCTAATGAGTACTAAACAAAGTACACATGGCATGATTTCTAGCATTAGGTTTTCAGCAAAAGTTCAATAACAATAACACACATTCTGGATGACATAATACAGGGTGAAGGTGGCAAATACAAGACCAAATAATAATAAATACAATACAATAACATTGCAGGACATTGGAAAAATAGATAGGTTAAATTTATTCCAGGGTATATTTCTAAATAAATAAAAAAATACTACTTACAACTGAATTTTAGCAGACCAAAGATGTGTCCAGGTACTTTATTTACCACTTGAAGTCCACCATTGAACACATTGCATTGTACAAAATGAAAACGAAATTATATTAAAATTACCGATTAACTACAGCAGACGTGTTGTGGTCTTTTGCAGTATATTTAGAAAAAGATACGAAATCTACACTATATATCTAGGAAAAGATGGCACGACACGACAGATAACAACGTCACTTGAGGTCTGTAATGTCCATTTCAAGTAGAATAACTATATTCTACACCCGAGAACATACACCACCATTATTGCGCACGCAGTCAATTGAGACGAGCCGCTACTTGTTCGTTGTTCGGGTTGCTAGCGGTACGCGATAAAGTTGGTTCACGATTTTACGCTACTCAAAAGAATAAAGAAAGATGTTGCATGCGCTTGTCGCTATTTTAACATCCGGTTGTCTTTCCTGTCATAAGTGACACCACAAAACGTCAATATGACATTGACATTTTTTTCATGTTGCCATATAGACAAAGATTACTTGTACAATGTTCCCATATTTTAAAATTCCGACGTCGAATAAAATATAACTGAAAATATAAATTATAAATAGTTGAACTAATATTAACATGAAATTTAAATTTATACAATAAAACTTTCATGAATTTTAAAATCATTTCTACCTGTAGTGTTTACATTATAACATAGTAGCGCCATGTTCCTTTTCCTATTCATTGTCGTATTTGACGTGTTTATCAAAAGAAAAAAAAAATACCAAAACAAAACTGACGTGTACGCTGTAAATTAATTACCAAATAAAATTGAAAAATTGCTTGTTTTATGTTGGTGTTTTCACAAATATACCATAATGTCGGATTCGGAACCACTCTCTCAAAATGCAGAACAATCTGAAGAAATACCAGGAACCGGAGGCCAAGGAGATGCGCCGCCAACTGTGTCTGAACGTGAAGCTTATTTCCAGGCGCTTCGATTATGGATACAACAAGCGCAGATCTATCAGAACATCTCTACATGTTTTCCTTACTACATGATGACCTTCCAGGGCTTACAGAACAATCCCACAAATGTGCCATTACTAAATAATAACTACCAGTTCCAAGGACAACAGATTCCTTTTCAAGTGCCAAATCCAGTAAGGAATGCTCCAGAAACTCCGCCTCCGCCCGAATCTGTAACCCCAGCAGAAGGTGAGATGGTAAACAATAAAATATAACATTTTTATGTTCACATAAACCATTCTTTGCCTAATGTTTATTAGACTATTATCAAGTAGTCTAATGAAGATAACTTCCATAACAAAGTTTATGTTGTTAATATATGGAATGAACTTCATTAAACTTTACTTCAGGTTTCTATTGATTGGTTCTGGAAGATTGTCAGATTTTATTTATTACTACTTTTTTTTATTTAGAACAGATATAAAGAGCAGTTGTAGTCATTTAAATATATTGTTTTAGGAACCACAGTTATGGATTGAAGCATATATTTCAACTGCATTGTGCTTTGTAAATATTTTGCCCAAAGTAAGTTCAGAAATGAAGGTCTTGCAATAAATAGAATAAAAAATATTTAAGTGATTATCAAAACTAGAATGCTAGAAGGTTAGGTTGGGGTATAAATAATGTCATTTAATTTTTATATAATTAGATACTTGTACTACTGATGTCTATAGTAACAACTATACACTCTTAGCATTATTGTTCACCTCAAACTTGGATTGTGACAATATTAATTAAAAAAAGATTCAAATCTCATATAAAACACTTTATCTGATATAATTATTTATAAAATTGGAGACATTGTAAAGGATAATAATGTTTTTTTAGAAATAACTTAAAATTTATAGCGCTGACAACATTATCTGATTGTACTGAGAATGAGTGTATAGCAGTTTCTATGTTGATTATTGCATGCCTCTTACTTGTTATTGTGTACTTATTTATTTTAAACAACATTTATTCAAAAGAAAAAACAAGTTTCTCAATCTTGATGAGTCTGCGTTCCGAATGAGTGGTAGAATAAAAAATAGGACTATTCAAAAGTGCTTCTATTGAGTTTATTTGAATAAAGATTATATCTATTTCTAATGTGATGTATGCACATGTTATACCTACATAAGCACATTTGTTATAATTTACTTATATGTTCTATTATTTGTGTATTTGTAGTGATTGCCCAACATGGAGGCTATGAGTATATAATACCACCACTGTACAAGAGGTTGATTGCTGAATTTATTGATTTTATGCTTTTATTCATATTGAAACTTATTGTCACATTTATAGCAGTGGATATGTTTGAAATAATGTAAGTAAACAAATCTTAATACTTATTTTAAAAGTAAACAAACAAAAGCAGTTTAAATATGAAAACTTTTGATACATTTATTTATCATAATAATTTATTGATAACTAGCTGTGGATAATTGCAACTTTGTCTTTATATGATAAAACTTAGACAATGTCCATTCTTATATTGTTATATTTATGCAAATTCCATTAAGATACATTCAGTATTCAATCCTGAAAAGATGCCGATATATTTATAATGGACATGTTTACATGTTTGGAGTTTTCCTTAATGACAATGTTATAATATACTACTTTTGATCTTATTATTTGAACATTCAGGTATTATATAATATCTGGTGATTGTTGTCTAACTAAAAAAATAAATTAAAAGATACTATAATAATACTATTTGTTTTTTCAGTGACCTGGAAAAATTTGATATCTACAAATTTAGTGAGCATTATGATGACTATACATATGCTATGGAGCTAACTTCTGAGATACTATTTTTAGAAATTATCTACAGGATATTGGTGTGCATATTTGAGGTAATTTCATTCTGCTGTGTTTTATTACCAGGTTTATAATTAATTTTTTTATGGATGATTATGTTATAATGCCCGCCTATGCATACAGTTTACACTGGCGGGGTACATGTGGAAGATCTTAAGATGAATAAATTCAGAAGCAATTTCACACACATTCACACAATAGTAGTCCAGAAGAACTGCTAGAGTTTATAATTTTTAAAAATAACAAATCCATTCTACCTATTGAATATTCTTTTCAACTGAGGGTTGTTAGATATGGTGCTAATGTCCTTGCCCAATACTAAATGTACTATGCAAGATCAACTTCCACATGGTCATCCCTGGAGACAATTGTGGTTAATCCTCAATGAATTTGCCAATGCTAAATGACCTGAGTAGAAGAAGCGGTACCATTCAACCATTATCCATAAAAACAACTCTTAAATTTTTGTTTATAAAATAAACATATTAGAATATGTATGTTAAAGTTTTAACTTCATATCTCTTTTAGACCTTTAAAACATTCAATAACTGAGAGCAATTTGCTTTTTTGCTTAACATGATAGTTTTTTTTTATTATTAATAGTGGGATTGCGATTGTCTTACCACATCTGATGGTAAATGATGGCAAGACCTAGACCTATTCCTCAAATGTCTAATAAAATATTAATCTAGCAGTAAATCAGAGATTATAATAATAATAATATTTAACACTATTCACACAACACTATATAGTCCTAAGGGAAGCAGAAGCAGAACTTGTGTTATGGGTACTAGACTACTGATATTATTTTTTGTATTATATGTAATACATAATAATAAACATATAAACCACGTTGACAAAGACAAATAATTATATTCATGAATACATGTTTGTACTGTGTGAAGAATCGGACTCGCGACTTTGGAAGTAACCCAGTGTTCTCAATTGCCACTGTATCATTACATGTACTATTTTAATGCTTTGCCATAACAAATGTAGATGGCATTTAAGTAAATATATAACTAATAATAATAATCTCAGGACAATTCACACAGCGCCATCTAGACCCAAGTTAAGCTAGCTAAAGCTTGTGTTATGAGTACTAGACAACTGATACATATACATAGATTTTCTTTTGTAAATACATACATATTATACATAGTAAACACCCAGACCGATACAAACAATTATACTACAATGAATACAAATGTTTGTGCCGTGCTAGAAATCGAACTCGCGACCATCGGTCGTAAAGCGGTGTGCTAGACCGCTAGAACACCGAGGTCGCCGATAAGTCGTCGATTCGTCGATAACTGTAATCCATTTAATAGTTTTACAGCATCTGATTTCTGAAGGTTATTGAATAAATCAGCATTTTCCAAACTCAATTCTACTTACTATTTATTGTAATTATTTATTACTATATTTGTTTTTCATAAAATTTGAAATATTATTTCAGGCCTTTTGTCTAAGTGGCAGTGTAGGGCGTACAGGTGGCGCTACTCCAGGGAAAGCTCTTCTTGGATTGCGTGTAGTGACTGCATCCGCTGTGATACTTGTTGAAGGACGCCCCAAGGAAACGGTACTGTTATACCCAGGAAGGCCGGTCAGTTTTGCAATGGCATTAATTAGGTCTATAATGAAGAATTTTCTAATTTCGTTACTATTTCCTCTATGTGTTATATTGTTTGTATTCCGACATAATCGCACTGGATATGATTTGCTGTGTGGTGTTGTAGTTGTAGAAGAGAATATGTACCCACCCAGAAGACATGCACCGTAATTTCTATGCTTCTATTTTTTTACAAAGCATCTATGAACTTTTGTGCCTTCAAATATAAATTATTTATTTGTATTAATTGTAATTAATATTAATTAAATTAATATTATTTATATTAATATGAAGTATATATTTGTGAGGTCCTATTTCTATAATTTATTTATAACTCAAATATCTCTTCCACATTTATACAGTACCTTTTGTTTTGGTTTGTATTAAATATGCTTTAAATAAGCATTGTATAAATACATTTAGGTTTTTTAACTATGTTATTTTTGAGAATTATGTTAAATTTTATTATTATTTATTATGGTTGGGTTTCGTCAAAAATATGAGGCTGGAAAACTGTGATCAGATTTATTCACTGACATCTGTATCACGAATGATTGACAAGCTCTGCTTTAATGTTTCAATTTTAAATTTTATTGCTATTTTTTGATGTTAGACTTAGATAGACACAAAGTTGCAGAGAATATTTTGATTGTATGTAAATGGTTATATCATTAATGTAAATGGTTGAGTATTTTTAATTGTAAACGTTATTTACTTTATTCATTTAACTATATCGTTAAATAATAAACAACCTATATCTTTTATATATAAAATTCTCATGTCACAATATTAGTTACCAAATTTTGTATGCATATTCAGTAGATCTGAGAATCATCTACTATTTTTCATACCCCCAAATGATAAGGGTTGTCCACCCCAACATTTATTTTTTATCTTTTGTAGAATTTTTATTTTATTTCTTTTATAATTTAGCATTAAAAATACATACAACCCCAAATTTCCACCCTTCTATCACCAACCCCTATTTTTTGATAGCCATTTCAATTTATATAGCAAAATAATATAGTAAATATCTGTACAAATAATGAGTGCATACTATATTGTGTGTTGTTTTATGAATTTTAGTTCTATGTGACTTGATATATTTTAATCTGTAATTTAAGTTAACACTGAAAGTGACAAACTCTACAGATTCTAAATTATTGGAAAAAGGCAAAGCAATGATGATGATGAACGTGACAATTTGGCAACTTATATAGTCATTAAATATAGTTTGACATCACCAGTGCAGTTGTAATATATATAATGTCAGTGTATTTACTGGTGGTAACTGGGGGTGGAATTGATGATCAGCTATCTACCATATTTGCAATCCCAAAATATTTACACTTGACTCAGTGTTTGTTGGATGGTATGATTATATTTAATATTGTATATTGATTAATTAATTTTCAACTTGTACATATTGTATTAGATATTGCCACGAAATTATTATGTAGCATGAAGGAAGTTTTTTCTTTTAATATTCAGACAATTCCCAGCACACAAATATAGAATAGGTTGTTCCTATAAGAATTCGAAGAAGAAAAATAATATTACTACTAAAATTTCTTATTACCATGTGAAAATTGAAACCTACAGTCTTATTGTTCAAAAAATATAGGATTTTTTCATCTTCAGTCCATAAATTACCTATTTTGTAGGCACAACTATATTATACATTTCACTGAGTATATATGAATTAAATCATGTTATTTAGTATGGAGTATCGGTGCTACCATGGCATATTGCCGTCGTCAGTGCAGTGATCACAGAGACAATTTATATTTTATAATTATTTCATATGTTATGTTAATCTATAAGGTATTTGTAATATGGGGTACATGGCCTGAATTTAAGTAAGAATGGATTTAAATTTTAATATATACAGCGAAATGTGGGCATGTCAAATTTTGCTTTCACCACTATGTCGACAATTGATACTACCTTTGTCTGCTCCATCTGTAACAACATTCATGAAGAAATATTATTTTGATTTAACATATTTTTATCTTTAAATATTTACTTTATCACATACACTTTCAACATTTTCTATTTTCTGTGTTTTATTGTGTCATATTTCATCATTCATGGATTTGTAATATGTGTATGAAGGTGTTTTGATTCCTAAAAGTAATCCCCTTATTTATAATTTTCTAGTATTCAATCCTTGACTTTAGTCTCAAACTAATATGAAAATTATATGCTATTGTTACCGTTATAAAAATAACTGTATTCTGATATGTACATACACTATTTATTTTAATACCTACCACCTTAAATTAAATAAGGGGGTTACAATTTATAAATATAGAGATATATTGGGAATTGTATAATATATGTACATTTGCATTATGTAAACTATTAGAATTACTTTTAAATAGGATATTGAGATATGTATAAAATAATATAAGTTAATTTGCTGATGAAAATATGACTTTAAAAAAATCACGTCATGTTTATTAAAATGTAGCAAAAGTTTTTTGTGATATTGTTAGTAACTAGTTGTTTTGTCAATATTTAAATAAATTACGTACCTAATAATTAAATATTGTCTTATTTTGTTCACTAACCCGATGTACTTATAGATATAGTTTCGTTATCTTTAGTCTTTTTTTATTATATTTGCTACGATACGAAAGTAATTGTTATTCATGTAAAACATTTGAAAAAGACGCCAAAATTAACTATAGTTGTATTGTGTATGACCATATCCTGTTTGTCCATGATATTAAATTGAAGACGATAGCTTGCCCAAACAATTTAAAAACTGAAATATCGTTGTTTATTCAGTGATTTGTGTTCTATCGTATTATTTGTTATTATAGGTATGTGCAGACAAATAAGTTAGTATACTGAATTTTTTTATATAATTTATGTTTACCACAAACTAAATGGTTTTTTTTTATGTCGTACACCAATATTCTAGCGGAGTCAATCGTTTAAAGAAACAAATAATATAATACTCAAAAACGGAACGAACTAAATAGATGTTTACAACATGTCAGCAGCACTGACAACAGATAGCAGTAAACTGACGGTACCATCGCATTCTATCAGTTTTAACTGACAAGTAGAACTATTAAAAATCCGAATATACGTTCGGAAACTGTTCGGAATTTATAGTAATCCTCACTATCTTTAAGCGTTATATACAATTTGAATTCAAAATCTAAAAGTAGATATTCATCTTCTCTATAATGTAAACCCAATATAGAAGTTTTCTTATCTTTGCAACTTATTATTTAGAATTTTTATTACTAAAAATTGTGATGAGTTGGCTTGCGCGTCGCGCCGTCAGTCTGCCGTAACGTGGCGGCGCTACGCTCGTGTGTGTGTGCTGCAGGAGTGGCTTTGAACTGTCATTGTTCATGTAGTTTTCTGTGATAAGAATTTTATTGTGAAATTATAGTTTAGCGAACTAATTTATACATTAACGATGTCTGCGTCGGGAGAATTTGGTAATCCTTTACGCAAGTTCAAGCTTGTTTTCCTTGGGGAACAGAGCGGTAAGTCCTGGTTAAATTATATCCCCTCGGTCGTACATTTTTAATATATAGTTTTGAATTTACGATATGTAAGTATAGATCAGTCTAGACTTTATCGAATTACTGACCTACATTGGGCCGGGGAGACTAGAAGTGTATGCCGTATTGAGGGTTAAAGTGTGGTTTTGCTGGGATCGTAATGTCTGGCCGACGAAGAATTATTATGACTAGGATGTAGGTTACACTCACTATGTAGGTACATCACTGGCGTTGAGTCGTCTATGAAGTATTCTCACGCATCATACAGTTTCTTTCCCGTTATAAATCATGATTTTTGTATTTGCTTCAACATTGTTGCAATTTAAATTAACATGGGTGTTTCTTTCTGTTTTGCAGTGGGAAAAACTTCGCTCATCACTAGGTTCATGTATGATAGCTTTGACAACACTTATCAGGTGAGTCAGTGATCTATCACTTACAAAATTAGTACCACATAACAGTTCTTATTTGACTCCAATTGGTTTGGTGTCAGTACAGCTATTATAACATCATTGTTAGTCATCAGAGCTCATTATCATATTTATTATTATGCATTTGATCAAGAGATAGTGATGATATAACATAACATTGTGAGTAATATTTTATAAGAATGTTTACATTAGTGTTTAGTGTATTTATTTAGTGTAGCATGGACAGCTAAGTATAAAATTAATTTTATTAATTATAGTCTGGAGAAATATTTGTATTAAGTATGATAATATGTTGGCACTGGTTATTAACATTTGGACATAGTTTTGATCAAATATACCAAAACAGATAAAAACATTATATTGTATAGATTAATTTTGTGAAATCTTTACAGTATATTTGTAGGCAAAATGCAAATTTATAAAATCTGGAATAATTATTCCACAGTATATTATTTGTTCCATATTATAAAAGGTTATCAAATCAGATAGTATTAGAGCATAGACATTGGAACATTTTTTGTATGTTTGGTATAGTGTTGGTACTATAATGGTAGGGCTATGTTAAATACTAGCCATTGATGCCAGATGCAATTCATTATAAAATGTAAGTAAAAAGTATTAAATAATTAGTTAATTTATTATTCTGAATTAGATCTCTATTTTGTTAAAATATCAGTAAAATGTTATTTCTGTGAACATGTTTATTCTTTCCTTAGATAATTATTTGCATCAACTAGACTAATTAGGTTTATGGTTAAATACAATAGTTGTGTAATATTACAGAGTCAAGTGGTACATAACTGTTAAAATACATTCAAATATATAATGATACTTAGCCCACCTGAACTACATGGCATACAATTACACTGCATCTCACCTTTTCAGGGTGCATTATTTTTATAATGGTACATTTGTGCTTTGTGACACAAATATGAATATTTATTAAAGGCTTATAACCCAAATGTGAACTAGCTGTAGTCTGTCTGTGTCAGAGACAAAGTTGTCATTGCCAGCATTTGCCAAGTTTTAAATAGGGCCGTGGTACTATTTGAAAATAATGTTAATTTTTATAGGTTACTCAGAAATAATGTAATTTAATAATTCAGTTATTTGAAAAAAATGTGGTTTGTAGCATACTACTGTAAAATATTATGTACATGTATGGAATCACTTGTATACATATATTTTGAATATATTTTGTGAAAATGTTATATGAAGTACTTTAAAAATAATATTCTGAAATAATAGCTTTGCAGGTACACTATCCTGCTATACCTGGTATCATTATTTGAACATTTGACATAGATACCTGTCAATTTTGTCTCCCGGATAAAAACACAGACTCTCCAGAGTGTTCTATTATCTTACTTATATATGCATACAGTTGTTTATTTTTTCTCTTATAGCGACAGAGTATAAATTTTATTATGTAACTTATCTTTACTTAACATACATTTTTCTTTTGTGTATAGGCAACAATCGGTATTGATTTCCTCTCGAAGACTATGTACTTGGAGGACCGTACAGTGAGACTGCAGTTGTGGGACACAGCAGGACAGGAACGGTTCCGTTCACTTATACCTTCGTACATCAGGGACTCCACAGTAGCGGTCGTCGTCTATGATATAACTAGTGAGTATCTGATTACTTTACATTCATAAGATTGGACCTTTGTTTAGAAATATCGAAAAAACAGTTATTCATATTTGGCCAGTTTTGATGCAGATAATGTGTAACAAACATAATACATTACAAGTTTAATTGAGTACCTTCATCTTTACTTTGGTAGAAAATAGATTACATCTGATTAAAAATTTAAACAAAGAGATTTACAGATGCCAAAATTATATGGCTGAGAAATTTTGCTACAAGTAAAACTTTCTAAATATAGTTCTGAATGTAATCTTAAGTTTATGGCTTAATGGATTTAAATAAAGTTAGATTTCAGGCTATGAGATATGTAGGATACCCTTACCCCGGTAATGGGTATACATGTACTAACCTTCTTTAAGGAAGTCTGTCTCTTAATTTTTGGTATTAAAGTTTAAATTAGATGAATTGCAATTGACCGCCTCGGTGGTTTATCAGTTTAGCACACCGTCTTACTTTAGATTGTCGTGGATTCAATTCTCGCATGACACAAACATTCATGAGTATAATGTTTGTGTCGGTCTGGGTGTTTTCTATAACGTGAATATATTTATAAAATAAATCGTCTATGTATTTGTATCAATTTTCAAATACCCATAACAAAAGCTCTGCTTATCTTGGGACTAAATTGCGCTGTGTGAATTGTCCGGAAACATTATTATTATAAGTAAGAATCATTTGAGCCTTTACTATGCCTAATTAAAATATCAATTTTCACGCGAGTTCAAAAAGAAGCAGCCAGTCTACTCTAGAACCTAACGCCGATCGATCAATATTGGAATGTGCTGTTTCGTACCTTTATGTCATACACTAAGCAACATATAAATTCCATAATTCGTGGTTATTGAATGGACTGAAAGTGTAATCGGCTTATTCATTTTACTTCAAAAGATCAGAAATTGCATTGTGTTGAAGACTATATTAAGACTGAACTCTAGGCTAAGCCGGTAGACTTATAGGTGTATTTTTTTGGCAGATGTCATAAAAGATATAACTAGATATTTTGTTATATACTACACAGATACTCAGAATTCTTTTTGTAATTGATAGGATTTACTCTTTTTGTTGAAGTTATCTTTTTTATACTTTTAATATGTGACCGGAAATAAAACAGTTATCTATCATATTTTGACTGGTTGCATGATGTGCACGTCTATACTGCTGAAAGTATGCCGACGGCCTCGTGCCCGAACATACCGAAGGTTAGCACTTCAATACTGCGTAACTTTATATACATAGGTATTACAGTCGGCTTCATGTATTAGTTGACACAGCGGGTCAATAATACAATGGTAGAAAAATTGCAACTAAGTACATCTTAACATAAAGTTCTGAATTTATTTTTATTAAATTCAATAGGAAAATAAGTTTACAATGCATATGTACATGAACAGCAATACGAACATCACGTCATCATGTGACAACACTAATGCGTCGTTATACGGACACATGATATTTTACGTGTCTCCGTATCCTGGAATATCACTGCCTTATCTCACCCTACAAACTTAAGGCATCTTACAAGCCAACTGCTTGGTAGTTGAAATAGGTGAGCCAGAGGTAATGTAATGTAAATTGGACTGTATTTTCCGCAATCAGCCTTTCATCTGAGACGTTGTACGCGAAACGAGACAGGTACCAACGCATACTACAAAATCTATCTCGTTCCAAATTTATATCAATATAGAAGATATTGTAAACACGTAACGAATTATAACGTTTTTATTTTTTCTGTAGTCGTGCCTTCATGAAAATGTCTGTTCATGACGCTAGTGCTAGAGTACGATATGTCTATGCTAACTGCAGTAGGCTTCTATCAGTAGCGGTTTTAACTGCATGAGAGCATTTTGTTGAGTATTGAGTTTTTCGTTTCATTCATCAATTAGTAGTTTGTCACGGCGGTTACTACGAGGACAGTTAACTTTTACAGAACTTTTGATGATTAAATATTAAATAATTATATAATTAAATATACCTATTAACTTTTTATGATATAATATAAAATAATTATAGTATATATAAAAAAAATCTATTTTTTTGCACTAATATTAACAGGTATGGATGATAACAATAATATTCTTATGCTGACATAATATTGAATTATCTATTACCTAAGATATGGTTGACCATTCTTAACGCTTCTTCTTGTATGAAGTTGACTGTACATGTAAATTAATATCACAGCTCCCTACCACAGGTCGTCCCTTGTAATACTGGGTTAGATAATCTAATTAAAAATAATATAAATGAGGAACTTTATTAAATCTTGCCTTAAATGGAGGATGAATGACGGGGCGTGGATAGATGGAGTAATAAGAAAAATAAATAGGAGAGGTGTAACATACTTTAATGAAACATACTTTATGTTTCATTAGAGTGGCAGAAATATAATACAATCGCGATAGCGTATTTTAAATATGAATAAAGATAATTAAAAATGTTACCTTACCGTTAATATACATATTCAAACAAATGTAATAAAATAACTACATATATGCCTAAACTAGCTTTGAATTTGTTAAAAAAATGTACATGTCGTAATAAACAAAATTCGGTTGTTCCAAAGTTTTGAGTTTAACGTCTACCTGTCTATGTATATACGATGGACTGCTTTTGATACATTTTTTTGTTTGAAAGTTTACGTGATCGATAATCGACGTCTTTCTTATATATAATTTATGAAGAGGTTTTCAGGCGTTTCAACATATTTTTAGTCGGCCAAAGGACTTCTCTAACTTTTTATACATAGGGTTTTGAAAAGTCTAAATTTAATTATACTTGTACAGTTTTATTCCACTACCATTTTATTCCTGTCTATAAAAGAAAGAAAAAATACTCGTGTTACCTCAAAAATTTTGTATTAAGTTTGGGACAAATCTCAACTTGTTATTTGCGACGCTGAAACCCGCCGACTGTCTCATGTTTTATTTATGAATACCTGGCTTGCGGATCTACTCTGTCTATTTTCCCCGTAAATCGTGGACGTATTGCTGTAGCCTTTTTTGTTCTAGTCGAAGTTTTATGCAACTGATTAAACATGTTTCTTTAAGTCTCACGTTTCAGTGGTGGATTTCTGAATCGACAAACAAGCTGATAAATCACTTGATAAAAAGTAGTAACCTGCTAAAAGTAGTCACCTAAGTATATACATGTGCAAAACCATCATTATTAATAATCATCCATCTAGTCCCAAACTAAGCCGATCTTGTATTACAGCTATTAGACAACTAACTAGTTAAATCACTTAGATATTTTTTATACGTACAAAATATACCCAGACCGATACAAATAATCATACTCATGAATATAAATGTTTGTACCGTTTGAGGAAGCGGACCTGCTACCACTGGAAGTAAAGTGGTGTGCTAAACGGGTAGACCATCAAGACCACATATTACATTTTGACTGCTGTGGTAGTTCACATGCTTTATCTTTTCTAAACAGTATGTTGTTAAGCCTTTGTACTGTTATTCGACGAATAATAAAAATAATAAAAAGAAAAAAAATTTATTATAAAACAATTATCATCATCTGCTTCTTCCTTATCCCATTTATTTGGGGTCGGCGTAATAGGTTTTTCTCTACCATTCATCTCTGTTCGCAGTCATCTCGTTATTTATTCCCTTTCTCACCATATCATCTTTCACACAGTCCATCCATCTCTTTTTCGGTCTTCCCTATTTATTAGAGAAACTAATTTATATACTTAGAAACGATATGGTCGAGACTTAGGATGTGACTGGTTCGCTCGTATGCTTCGCCTCGCGGTCTCATATTGCGGAATTTAGTAAGATAGGAAAAGCTTGTTGTAACTCTAACCGTATGTTGTTGGGTACACCAGTATGCTACAATATCCTTAATTGTATCTAGAATTTGTATGGGAACGATAATAAATTAAGTAGGGTGCTATCAAATTATTTGTGTTCTATATTATATAACCACTATGATAACGATGAAATCTTGTGCACCTACGCCAAATGTTATTGATTTATTAATAAAAAAAATCATATTTCTCTTTGTAATGGTTCATTGACCCTTTAAAAACAGCCTATGCCGCTATAGTTACAGTATGACTATACGGGATCAATGAACTGCCTAATGCGTAAATAAAGATTTATTCACATACACTGAAAATATTTGTGTATTGAATGTTTTTTTTAAATAATTGTATTGTATATGCATATCTACACATCTATACATATATATAAATAAAATTGGAGTGTCTGTTTGTAATATTGAAATAACCGTTTTTTACTACATGCATGTGAATATAAATACACCAAAAAACATTTTTTACAATTTATGTCTGTCTGTCTATCTATTTGTTCCGGATAATCTCAGTAATGGCTGGACCGATTTTGACGGGACTTTTTTTGGCAGGTAGCTGATGTAATAAGGTACTCCTTATAAGTTAAGCTACTTTTATTATGAAAAAAAAAATAGAAAAATAAAGTTAAAATCCACGCGGGCGAAGTCACGAGAACAGCTGGATTCAATAAATTATCAATACATACATGGACTATGTTTAAAGAGTGTAGCAGTTTCTTAGATGACTCATTCCATATTTTACAATAGCCAACAGCGCCCGAACGTCTGTCACTTTGTTAGGACTAAATAAAATTTGAAATTTAAATCTTCTGTGAATATAGGTAGTAGTTTTGTAGAAAAGTACTACAGATAATTAATATAATAAGTAAACCTTTTATATCTTTATTATATGAACGGTACAAATTAAACAGAAAATCAGCTGGTTTATAATTTGGCCGTTCGCATTGTTTTCGCTTGTTCTAGTAATGAATGTCCTGTTGTTATTTGATAAGCATCGCTGATTAAAGAAACAAATCCCGATTTCACCACAAATTCTGTTATTACAAATTTCATTCTACAAGAGATAAATTAAGATAAGATAAATATATATTGTTGTGTGCTTATTGTAAACATTAATAACTGTACGATTTGTCATTTCATAGAACTAACCGTGT